ATGATTTTATACTATCATTTTTACCTATTGGAGCTTCTAGAAAAAGGAAGACATGAAAAGACGATCTCCAGATGAAAATAATTTTTTTGAGTTTAAAAAGCAGGTTTTAGTTGCTAATAAGCTTTTACAAAACCAAATGGCTAACTCTTAGAGACTGATAATTTTTCGTCCTGATGTGCATAATTTTGAGTGGTCAGTTTGGACTGTAAGACAAAATAAAGAGTTTAGGGAAGTCTTGCTTATCACTTAGACTTGGACTTAGACCATGGCCGACTGGCCCTGTAGCATCCCAGCTTTGCTGCTGCCTAAGAAAGCCTGCTAACTTTTTTGACATCCTAATTTGGCATTCGCAGATCCTAATTGCCTGGACCTGACTCTCAGCTGAAACTGGGATGGTCTGCTATAGATTGTTCCCGCCTTGGCACCAGATGTGCTGAACTGAAAGCAGGCACAAGCTAAATGAACTCTAAAGGAATAAAATGAACTTTAAATGAATTCAGACTCAAGTCATTGCAGATTTGGGTCACCCCTCCTGTAGGGCTCTAAATTTATGAAACCATCCTGCGTTCTGGCTGGGCCATTTAGGACAGTTGCTGATGCCCACAGGAAAAGGCTTGTTCTCTGACTGGACCATCTGAAATTGATCTGCTGCTTGGCTCTTTATGGCTGATACACAAATTGATTGCATTCTTGTGATTTCTGCAAAAACTATAAATTGGGGGAAGGCACGTCACAAGAAATGTGACCCCTTCCCCACTCCTGACAGATTGCTCTTGACCCCTTCTTGGGACTGTGCCACTGCTGTTGGTGGTTGTGTTTGGCTTTCCAGGTTAGTTCCGGTTTACAAAAATGGATTGATAACTTCACTCCTCTCACCTGTCTCCTGATACACAAACCTTAGTAATGCAATTTGCTTAGTAAATGCAGCTATCCCCAGAAAGAGAGTGATAACTTTTCTAAGCTGCTCACTGGATAAATGATCAGGACAAAAGGGAAGAGTGGTATGAAAACTCATTTTCAAAATATTTGAAAATTCAGGATTCCATCTTGACCAGTTCCTTGACATGATATGTCTTTCTGGTTAAACTGTATAAAAATGTTTGCCTATGAAAATGCTCTTAAACATCTTGCATACAGTTCTTCCAGACAAAAGTTCTGAATGAGAGGAGAAAATTGTAAAACTCTGGTTGCTAAATGAGACAGCTGCTTTCAAGAGACACTCCCATTGGAATCAAAGAATGAACTGAACTGTGTGGACTGGAGTGGAAACCTTAGGATAGGAGGCCTGCGGTGGGAGGCCCTATTGGAGGTCGTGTTAACCTAAACTGCCTGATTAATGTATGTGATGCCTAACATTTGTAAACTCTTTTTGTCCAAGAGTACTGTGTGTGCCCTCTGGAATTGTACTTGTCTGTGAGCCCTGACTGTCCTGGCACTGCCTCAGCCTTGGAAGGCATTCAGGTCAGGTTCAATTTACTGGCCAGGCTTGTGCTGTGCCTGGATTTTTTTCTAAGAATAGCATTCTCAGGCTTGTCATGTGAACTCTTTTTCTGCACAGTCCACCCCATTGGCTCTTGGCCAAGGTGTCTTTGTCAGTAGGCCCCAATGCAGCAAAGTAAGCTTAATCTATAGTGTTAGCCTCGAGACTAAAAACTGCTTGCAAGTTTGTCCCTTGGATGACATCTGAAGACCTGGATTTGGAGAGGATTCCACCATCCTCTTAAGGATAAGAGTGGTTTACTCTGTGTCTAAACTGTACAAAGAGTATGCCTTATGCTAAATACCTGTTTTCCTTTTGAGAGTCTGGAGTTTGGGTATGTGCTAGGCAGAAGGTGCCCATGTGACCAGCCTCTAATAAAAACATTGAGTCTCTAAGAACATCCTTGGTAGATAGCATTTCACACATGTTGTCACATTTTGATGCTGGAGGAATTATGCATGTGCTATGTGACTGCACTAGGAGAAGAATCTTAGAAGTTTGTGCCTGGTTCCCTCTGGACTTTGCACCATGCACCTTTTTTCTTTGCTGTTTTTGCTTTGTATCATTTTGCTTAGTAAACCTTAGCCATTAATACAGCTGTATACTGAGTTCTGTGAATCCTAGTGAATCACCAAACCTGGAGGTAATCTTTGGGACCTCCAGAACAACAAGAATGTTCATAGAAGCTTTATTTATAATACCAAAAAATGGGGGGGGGATCTCAAATGTCCATCAACAAGTGAATGGGACAAATAATTATACATTCACACACTGGAATACTATACAGCAATGAAAACAAGTGAACCAATTCTACATACACCAATATGGTTGAATCTAATAGACATAATGTTGAGTGAAAGAAACCAGATGCAAAAAGGTACATATTTTATGATTTTATTAATATAAAGCTTAGAAATGGACCTACTTATTTATGGTGATTGATGTTTGAATGGTGATTAACTTTGGGAGCTGGGGGATGTTAATAACTGGAAAGGGGCACAAGGGAGGCTTCTGCAGTGCTGATAATGTTCCATATCTTTTTTATTATGTTCAATTAGCCAGCATATAGAACATCATTAGTTTTTTGTTCTTTTTTTTTTAAAAGATTTTATTTATTTGAGAGAGAGAGAGCACATGAGAGGGGGGAGGGTCAGAGGGAGAAGCAGACTCCCCGCTGAGCAGGGAGCCCGATGCGGGACCCAATCCCGGGACTCCAGGATCATGACCTGAGCCGAAGGCAGTCGCTTAACCAACTGAGCCATCCAGGCGCCCCAGAACATCATTAGTTTTTGATGTAGTGTTCAGTGCTTCATCAGTTGCATATAACACCCAGTGCTCATCACCACTTTAATGTTAATTAATAGTGCCCTCTTTAATATACATCACCCGGTTACCCCATCTCCCCAACCCCTCCCTTCTGTAACCCTCGGTTTGGTTTCTGGAGTCCAGAGTCTCTCATGGTTTGCCTCCCTCTCCGATTCCATATATTGATTTGGGTTGTGTGCTTACTATGTAAATATTCATTAAATTTTACATTTAACATTTATATACTTCATGTATATTATACTATAAGAAATTACCCCCCAAAAATACTCTAGTGTCCAGTGATGGGTGAAAAGATAAACACAACATGGTGTGTACATACAGTGGAAAATTTTTCAGTCTTGAAAAAGAATAAAATTCTGACACATAGTACAAAATGGGTGAACCTTGAAGACATTGTTCTAAGTGGAATAAACCAGTCACAAAAGGACAAATATTGTATGATTCCACATATATGAGGTACCAAGAGAAGGCAAATTTATAGATACAGAAAGAATGGTGATTGCCAGGGGCTGGCAAGAAGGGAACATGGGGAGTTATTGTTTAATGGGTACAGTTTCAGTTTGGGAAGATGGAAAAGTTCTGGAGATGGGTGGTGATGATAGTTGTATTACACTGTGAATGTACTTAATGCCACTGATTAAAAATGGTTAAAATGGGGCGCCTGGGTGGCTCAGTTGGTTAAAGCATCTGCCTTCGGCTCAGGTCATGATCCCAGGGTCCTGGAATCGAGCCCCGTGTCAGGCTCCCTGCTCAGTGGGGAGTCTGCTTCTCCCTTTGCCCCTCCCCCTGCTCTTGCTCGCTCTCTCTCTCTCTCTCTCTCAAATAAATAAATGATTTATTTTAAAAAAATAAAATAAAAATTGTTAAAATGGTAAATTTTATGTTATATATATTTTACTACAATAAAAAAAGAAACAAAATGGAAGGAGCAGTGTGTAAACCTGGTTGTGATATCAATCTAAGGTAAAATGTGTGCTTTCCAGAGTGGACCCTGGAATATGACCAAGGCATTGACAGCTCTCTGGTTCTGTCCCTAAAAGTGAAGCAACACTAACAATGTGCATCTTTGATAAGTTTCATACTTAGGATAAAACAGGGGCAAAAATAAAATCCCCAAGAAAAATGTGTTCCAAAAAAAAAAGCGGTACAGTTCTGTCAGTACTAACATGAAATGATATTCAATATATATTTTGGGGAAAAAGTTTGAGAACAAGCTCTTTGTGTATAGTGCTATCCTATGTTATACAATATATCCTATGTTATAAAAGGGGAAAAATGTGTGAATAAATGAACTATTTCCTCGTTATAACAGGTATTGATGTAATAATTGCCTTTTGAAAGACAAAAAGAAATTCAACTACATGTAACATAAACATCAATTATCAGATAGATTCTAATTTCAGAATGCTAACCTATAAAAAAACAAGACATCTTATATTCAGGGAAATAAGGTGTGTGTGTGTACATACATACATACACACATAATATTTAGACACATGAACAGATTCTGTATAAATTTTCATTAAAATTATGCCTTTTGTAGCTGTCTGATAGTTCAAGTGTTCCCTTAAGTTTTCAAAAATGTTCCTCTGCCAAGTGAATTTTACACTATGTGTAAGGTTTCACAAAATTTCCCATCAGACACAATAATATTAAAATATTTTGACTTATTTGGATAAGATGTGCTGTTCATTGAATTAAAATGTGTCAGCACTATGCAATTGAAGGAGATCAAGATAAATTCATTTCAGTTTTTTGGTTTAGTATGCCATCTTTAAGCTGATGAGCTTTTGTTCAGCTTTATTGAAGCATAGTTTACATTAATATTTGATAGTCAATATAGCTTTTGCCGTTTTCGTGGGATTTAAGGAAATTCAGCATATAAATATCAGTAATAGAATTCTATCATTCATAGAACTATTAATTTTCATGTGCATTCTTTTCTCTCATATATAGATTATGTGACTTCTTTGTAAGAGCATAAAGCCCTTTAAGAACAGAGATAATTGCATACTCTTTCTCTTGGAGAGCCCTACAGTGCTTCGTATGGCCTTGTACATGACATAGATACTAACTTTGAGACACAGAACTTTGTTCAATCAGGAAATGTAAACCTAATACAAAGAAAAAAAACTGTTCCCTGATTGGATTTGTGCCCTAGAAAGATCTTGAGCATTTCTCAATTCTATCTCAGGATGCAACAGTAGAATGAAACTCAGTGGACGACCCTACAGGCATATGGGAGTCCTTGGAACTTCAAAACTCTATGACATTCGGAAAACTATCTTCACCTTCACTCCACAGGTGGGTGGAATGAGCTTTAGCATGCATTGAGATGAATGGAAGTAAAACAGAAACATTATAGAAATAAAACATTACTGGAGTTAGAACAAGTATTAGAGTATTTTAGAATTAATATGTAACAAGTATTAGGCCTTGCACATATTAAGTTGCTTAATAAATATTTGTTGAGTTGGACTGAATGGAAGTTGTAGCACAGAACAATGCCAAGTGATTGTGGCTACCAAGAGTAGTCCTGGGTGTTGCAGAAACAGTGACTAGGGATTTTATAAATGTTGGAGTACTTTAAAAAGTACTCCTTTTAAATGTTAAAAATAAGACTGTATTTGTCCTTTATTAACAAAATATAGTCTTTTTTATTTAGCTACCGAATTATGTGTTCTCTTTGTTTTGGGCAGGGGCCCTTTTTATATGCCTGGAAATCATTGATATCCTCTTCTAAACAAAAATGTCAGTACTGTTTTAGCCATGATTATGCACATTATTAGCCTGATATTTATTAGCCACATCACAATAATAAGCCAAATTGTATGTGTGCATAGGAGGAGAAACTATTTTCTGGAAAGAAAGCTGACGCTCCCCATTTGTCATCTTATATCTGAAATTGTGCAGCTGAGGTATAGACAAAAGAGTAATGGACCACAGATTCTATTTCTGACCTTGCCATTTGCTAGCCATATGACTTTGTTAATCTGCTTAATGTCTCTTGGCCTTATTTTCATCTACTAAAAGATAAGCCTTCACTCATTTGTTATATAATTAAATAAAATTCTGTCCTTGAAAACACTTTGTAAACTATAGTACACTATCAAAATGTCAAAAACTATTATATGTACTAATGGACTATCAGATTCTTTGGAAAGAATGAGGCACTAAAGTTGGGGATATTGTTGCCTCTGTGACTTGTTATATAGCCCTGTGAATATGTGAGTACTTGAAAATATTACTGGACAGTTGTAAGAGCAAATTATTCTGAGCTGTTATTTTTCTTCTTTTTCTCAGTTTATAGACCAGCAACAGTTCTACCTGGCTCTGGACAACAAGATGATAGTAGAAATGCTTAGAACAGACCTCTCCTACCTCTGTAGCCGCTGGAGGATGACAGGCCAACCCACCATCACCTTCCCCATCTCACATACCATGCTTGGTAAGGTTGTATGAGGCAAGAAACAAATGTATTTTTGGAATAAATCATGTAGTTAGTCCTTCAAACGCTTAGAGTCACCGGAGAACTACTCATTATCATTTAGTCTTTCAATAGTTATATATTAGCCCCTATTTTGTGCCAAGCACTTATCAAAGCACTTGGGTTACATGAGGTGAATAAGGCAGCTGAGGTTTCTACCCTCATGGAGCTTATGTTTTAGAATTAATATGTAACAAATGAACCAATGCAGAAGAATATTTCAGATGGTTTGAGAGCTATAATTCAAAAAATGTAATAGAATAACTTGGGGGCTACTTGGGGACTAATTGGCTTTTAGGTCAATTTGCAGAAACTTTATTAATGCAATTCATTTTAAAGATAATAATAATACATTCTGCATCTGTCTTACTCCAGTGGAGCATCAAGATTTTATAGATGAGTTCCCAGACTTATCCTTCCAAGGCTTGCCTAACCGAAGCAGTAAGATTTAACAGGGAGAAGTGAATAGGCTTTCAGTTTATCTTTCCCTTATTGACTGGGCTTCCTGACATTGCTTATTTGAAACTGGGTGAAAGGACTTATTTTTCTTTCAGTTCCTGGAGGACTAGAGCCAATACTGAAGCACTGCTTTCTTTCTGTGTCTTTGCAATTGCTTCTAAAAGCCTGTTTGTACTGCCAGAGTACATAGAATTCCTTTTCATTAGAGAAGAATCCTTTCTCATAAATCATTCAATGTCCAGTCAGACTGTTAGGGATATTGGTCACATCTCTAAAGTGCTTCAAAAACAGAGGAACTGAGAAAGTAGGATAGTCTTTCTTCTTTTTGCCTTTCTTCTTTATTTAAGCCAATTAACAAATACCTCATTAATAAACACTATGTTCCCAGAATTGTCTTCAGAAAGTATAGAGTCCAATTGGAGAGGCAAAGCTGATACACAAAAATAATAGAAAACAATTGAAGACAGTTATATAAAGAAGTACCAAACCATTAGATTAGTATTTTAAGGTGAAGGCGATCAAGTTGTTAAAGAAAATTTCTTGACTGAGGTGGGACTTATCAAGGCTTTTTGGGATGGGTAGAGGGAAAAAGGAAAGGCACTTTAGTTAAGGGAAAAATACCATGAATGAGACTAGAGACAGGGTCGAGCTTGACTTGTGAGTGTACAATGGAGAGGCCAACCTGCATAGAGTGGCTTTGCATGTTGGAGTATAATTATCCACAAAGTTAGATAAGGTGGGGTCACATTATGAAGGCATTGAAAATAAGCAAAGATATTTAACCAGATTTTCTCAGAAGTCTGAAAGTATCAAAAGTTTTTGAGCAAGGAGCGACATGATGAAAGTAGTGTTTACAGAATATTGATTTGATGACAGTATACACTGTAGTGAGGAGAATTTGATATCAAAGAAAATAATCCAGGTTTGAGATGATGAGAAGATACATTGGATTGGTGGTAATAACAATAGAGTGGGAAAGAAGAATACAGGAGTCAGTTTAGACAACACCTGCAAGTCAAATGTTGGCTAACTAGATATGGGATATGAATCAAAGTGATGTGAAGATTTAGAGACTAGGTAAATAATGCTGCCTTTGATAGAAGCAGAGAAATTCTATAGGAAGATGCCAATTGTAAAGGGACATGTTGAATTTGTGGTGACAAAGAGATTTCAAAATTGAAATATCTAATAGGTGAGATACACAGCCATGGCTTGGGGAGAAAAATAAAACTAAAGATCTAGATTTAAATCACAAAGTTTTGATACTTGGTATTTGGTCACACAACAAAAGCAGCAGTAACAATAGCAGTAATAACTGCAATATTTATTGAACATTTTCTCTGTGCTAGGCACTGAGCTAAGTGCTTTCAATGCATTATTTTGAAATCTCTACAACTCTATTCAGGTAGGTAATATTAATAGCCCCATTTTATAGAGTCACAAAGCTTGTGACAGAGTCGGGCCTCTAACCAGGTCTGTCGGTCCCCAAATCCTACGTTACCAACAGCTGTGTGTTTTTGTTAGTGACAGTTTTGTGCTGGTGAAATGAGAATGAATATGCTAGCGATCACATTAAAATGTGAATTAGTTAAATTATCATATTAAAGATAAAGATATCCAGAATACATATAAGACCAAAATCCAGCTAGATGCTACTTACAAAAGCTATCCCTAAGATAAGATTATACGGGGAAAAACAGAAAGTAAAGGAATGTGTAAGATAAATCATGTAAATGCTAACAAAAAGGAAGCAATGGTGGCAACACTAATATTAAAAATAGTAAATATAATTCAAGGCACATGTCAGTAAAAGGGACAGGAAGGATATTTTATATTGATAAGAGCTACACAGAAAAAAGCAGAATCAAATCTATAAATACTGATAACAAACTGATGGTTGCCAGAGGGGAGGGGGCTGGGGGATTGGACAAAATGGGTGAAGGGGAAAGGGAGATATAGGTTTCCAGTTATGGAATGAATAAGTCATGGGAATCAAAGACACAGAATAAGGGGTACAGTCGATAATATTGCAATAGCAATGTAATGAAACAGATAGTAAGGACACTTGGGGTGAATACAGCATAATGTATAAACTTGCCAAATCACTGAGTTGTACACATGACACTAACGTAACATTGTGTGTCAACTATACTCAAAAAGGGAGTTGCAGTATAACAAGATGATATAACAGTTTTAAACTTTTATCTACACAGCATCAGTGAAATGTATAAAGCAGATATTTAGGAAAACTTAAAGACAATATGATAAAACCATTGTACAGTCATAGTGGGAAACCATAACATACTTCTATCACAATGTCATAGATCAATTATAAAAAATAAAGATATAGAGGGTTAACAAGCCTGATTTTTGTATTTATGGGTATATATAAAACTATATCCAAAAAGAATACACAAAGAATGTTTATTTTTTAAAAAGTAGAAATCATGTAGATGATATTGCCAGACTTAAGACATAAAACTAATTAACACAAGAATAATAAAAAACCTGACCATGAAGGAATTAATTTTTTTTTTACAAATGATACTTGGATTAAAGAAGACATCAAATTTGAAATTAGTGTTCTAAAATTTAAAAAAATGATACTACTACTTATCAAAACTTAAGAGATTTGGCCGGAGTCATCTTTGGAAATTTTCATATCCATAAATACTTTGGAAAAAAAAAAGGGAGTTCCAGTTTCCAGACAAAATGGAGTAGACTCACTTCTCACTATTCCTCCTGCTAAGTACAGTTAAAAACCCTGGACGTTATCTATAAAAAAAAAACATAAGAAAACTCTGAAAGTCTGAAAAAAGAAGGGAGACTGGCTAGGGACTTTGCACCTGAGAAATGACACAGCAGTGAGTATTCTGTCTCATATATTCTGGACTGGATGCTGGAGAAGTTTTTATCCCAGAAATCCAAATGTGTAGCTTTAAAAAGGCCCAAGAAAAACCTTTCTTTTCTAGCCAAAGTAACAGGAGATGGACAACCTAGCCAGACAGAAAACTTTCAGACAGTAACTGTCCAACTCTGGCCAAAACCACAGAAAAAAACTGCAGCCCCACTCCCACTCCTATAACCAAAGGCTGAGTCCCCAAAGGGGACCCTAGACTTCTACCTTCACATAGCTGTGAAGAAGCACCCCTCTTCTTCCTTAGGGGTAGTGTCTGAGAAGTGCTAGTGGGGAGCTTAGACTTTCGTCCTTGCCCAACAATAGAGGAACCTCCTTCCATACCCACTATTAGTAACAAGGCAGTGTTCCCTTCCCTGCTGCACAGTATCAGAAGAGACGTGCTGAATCAGAGGATTCAGTAAGATCCAAAGTCTCATAAGATGATACCCTATATTTCCAGAATACAATAGAAATCACTTATACCAATGTCCAAGAAAATCATAACTTCAATGAGAAAAATTGATCAGCAAACACCAATACCAAGATAACAAAGATGTTGGAATTGTGACAACGATTTTAAGGTAGTCATCATAAAAAAAAACTTAATGAGAAATTATGACTGCACTGCTCTTGAAACTTGAAAGTAGGAAGTCTCAGCAAAGAAATAAAAATCCTCAGCAAAGAAAATGAAGATATAAAGAACCAAATGAAAGGTTTAGAACTGAAAACTACAATAACTAAAGTGAAAAACTCACTAAATAAGCTCAATAGCAGACTAGAGATGATAGAGTGAACTTGAATATATAACTATAGAATACCAGGAGGAATTAAGATGTGTGGAAGAACTTCACAATCAAGAAATGTAGAAATGTAAAGAAATGCAATTAAAGCAAGAGAAAGACTGACGTAGAAGGGAAAAGAGATGAAGACTGGTCAATATGAGATGGAAGAACAAATGAGACACCAAGGAGAGGAAAGTTATAGCCAGATGGGCTACAGGGATCCAAGAGAAAGAGACATGGGAATGGGTGGTAGAGGAGCAAAGAACATGGGAGAGCCCTGTGATTCAGGAGGCCAGAAATTTCTACCTCTAGATGGTGGTGTGGCATAGGTTATGAAGCTAATCCTGGCGTTCCACCAGCAACCATGAGTAGTGCCATGATGGGAAGCAACATATGTACTGAGCATTTGGGGCAGAGAGGTGTGAGACCTGTGGGTGGACAGGGTCCTCGAGGAATGAGGCCTAGAAATCCAGAAGGATGCATCAGAGGGAGAGAAGAGTATGAAGGCCCAAACAAAAAGCCCTGATTTTAGATGTGGTATCTAGGTTTTCATTCCAGTTTGGTTTTTTGTCTTTTCTTTTTTAGATACCAGTCTTTCAAATTCTTATATTTTAGTAATAAAGCTGCCTTTTCATGTATGTTAGCAGTTTATTGACCTAATATTTGTAAATGGTCTAGTTGGGCGGGCACAATTACATAATGCAGTGTTTGAAATGGGAATTTTTTTCCTTATTTCCTTTTTTATTGTTTATTTAAATTCAATTAATTAACATATAATGTCTTATTAGTTTCAGAGGTAGAGGTCAGTAATTCATCAGTCT